ACAGCTGGCAAATTGCAAAGATAAGGACTCAGTTACTGAGTTTTAACTCTCTTTGTCCTTTTTAACACTAGCTATGTTGTTGAAAAGAGTCAGGGCAGTGTAATAGTTAAAATACTTGAAGTAGGAATATGGAAACTTAATGTCTACATACCATGAAATCACTACCTTTATATAACTACCAAAAGTCCCTTTATTCCAGAAACCTCATAAGCATTCCTCGGCTGCATTAGTAACTTCCTCCTCTGCTCACAAGGGCACTGTGAACATTCCTGTAGTATAATGTTTATCATATTGCATTACAATTATTTATTCAAGAATCCATCTGTTCTCCTTCTACTTACCCACTGCACTGAGCTTCCAGGAGAAGCAATAGCATTTTCCTAGACTTCAATCCCACAAGAGAACTTGGTACTTTGTGTGCCCTTCATGTTTGATGAGTGAATGAATGAACTAACCACTCACAGTTTTGGACTGTCTGTGAATTTTATGCTTTATTGGACATCAAGATCACCAGAAGGTCCTGATTGAAAATGTAGTTTTCCAGGCCATACCGTAAGAAATACTGATTTGAGCTATGATAATAGTAGGGTCTAGGAATCTGCATTTTTATTAAACAGTTGATGATAATGTTGCAAATTGTCCCTCAGACACACTTGGCAGACTCTTCTCAATCATTAGTTCCACTGGTATTTTGTCCTAGCTGTGTATCTCATAATGATCTATCCATCTGTATAAAAGCATAGAGCTTCTCTAACCACCATATTCTACCATTCAGATTCTAGAATAGTGGTACTGATATTTTAAACAAACCAAGATTCCCTTCAAGTAAAATTTTTAGAAATAAAGATGATATAAAGCATTTTGAATTACTGAAAAGGTATCTTAACAACCTTTGAAAGATAAAGGGTATTTTAGCTCATCAAGGAAATAGGATATAGCATCCTGTGAAACTAGAGAGGATAATGCTAAGTGAAATAAGTCAAAAAGAGAAAGACATATATTGGATGGTTTACATGTGGAATATAAGGAAATTAAAGGGTTAGTCAAAAACTAATCAATAACAAACCCTAGAAATCTATCTGTTGAATTAAGGTTACCAGAAGGGGAGGGGAACAGTGGAAAGCTCAGTGTAGAGGGGGCCAACTGAAGTATGGCTGAGAACTGTGCGTGCCTTGGTGGTGGATGTTTTTTTGTGGTAACATACTCTAAAGGATGTGACCCTATACCTTGAATCATACACAGTGTTGTTAACTAATGTTACAAAATAAAATAAATAAATGAATAAATAATAACATAAATCTAGCATCTTGGAAGTTATCTTAGTCCTGTTAAATTTGGTCTGAGACTCAAATGCAGAGGAAATAAAATCCATACCTAACACCTGTGTGGACACCAAGTCTGTAAGAGCTCTTGCCCTAATTGTGTTATATTATTCAGGTAGTCAGGGGAAAGGCATCTCCCTGCCTACACGAGTCAGTATGGACATGAAGAGGGTTGATTAAGGCACTGGGGTGCTAGATGATCTTTGAGAATAAATTTCTATAAAAGTAAACTTAATAGTTGATGTTTGCATAATTTTTTAAAGTCCCAAGTAGCGCATCTGTGCCTGCATGCCACTTTACAGGGAGAAAGAGCCAAATGGGATAGTTATGAGAGTATCTTTATATAACTACCAAGAGAATTTCTGATCCTTGCAGCATATTTACTCATATATTTTGTATGTTTGTATTTAGTCCTTGTGTTACTTTTTATTTGTAACTTCTGTTCTATGCCTCAACCCAGTTCATACTCTGATATTTTAATTGGTAAAATCATGTTTCATCTTTTTTATGTTATTATTTACATAGCGTTTTCCCTAGTGCTAGATGCTTTGATTATTTTCAGTTATTGGCTATCATATACAGAGTACTTCTGCTCATTTCTGCTCAAATTATAATTTTGTTTATGTGAAATCCATGGGGTATGTTCTCCAAAGTGAGATAATTAGATAAAAGAGTAATGACAATTTTATAGCTCTTGTTGCATACTGTAGTATTACTTCCCAGAGACAACAAACCAATATACAACCCTATAGAAGTGAGAGGCATGCTGGATTCCCCACAGCTTGACCAACATGTAACTTTATCAATTTGTTACAGGGCGGGGAGAGGGGGACCCCAGACCCCACAAACCTGCCTGCTCAAATAGGTTCTGCCACCTGCCACATCAACACAAAACATATGAGACTTTAATGGGAAGGAACTTTAATACAATTAGGAAACAATACAGGAAAGGCAAAGAATATAGTTTCTAAATCAAGTACCCAAAGTTACCCGTCCTCTCGTGGGTAAAAGCCCATCCAAATGGGATTGGCCCAGAGCAAGGCCCCAAAGCCTGCCACAAGTCTAAAGCATCTTCCAGTGGGGATCCACAGAAAAGGATGAAACACAACCAGACAAGTCTGGAAGGAAAAGAGCAAAATCAAAATCAAGACAAAAACAGCCATTGTCACCTCCCCCTGGGTCTCTCACCCAGTTCATGACCAAAAGGCAAGCGCAGTTTCTTCATGTGTCTCTCTGCTCCATGTGCCTCCTCCAGGTCTCCTTCTTGCTCTCCATCCTGTTTCCTTCCTTCCTCAGTCTCTTCTGCTGCTTCTTCTCTCCTGCTCAGCTCCACCCTCCCTTGGGTGGGGCATGGAACCTGGGACTTCCTCCTTTCCTAGGGACCACCCTGTTACAATTTCACACTATTTTTGCTAGTTTTTTTTTTTTTCACTTTAAATTTGTTTTATTTTTTACATCGTCGTTCACTTATGGACAGTATTTGATTTCTCCCCTCGTGTAATTCCTGTAGTTCTCCCACCACCATATCACCTGTGAACCATGACCACAGCCCCTGTGCTCTTCCTTCCCCTGTTTTGACCCCTCTTCCTGCCCCTCTCCTGCTGGATGCTTCAGATCTATGTCCAACTTGCAAGTTTTGTCTTTTACCTGACACTTTGTTTGGTTACCCTATATTCCACAAGTAAGTGAAACCCTCCAATATTTATCTTTTCCCTTCTGGCATGAGTTTATCATTTTTAATTTATTTATCAAAATGATAAACTCAGATGGCATGAGTTTATCATTTTTAATTTATTTATCTTGTTGGATACAAGCATGTTTCAGATATATGATCTCAGTTGATCCTTTATTATCTGATTTTTAGCTATCTATAGTGACCTCATTGCAGTTTAATTCACAGAAATGTGTTCTAAGTTCCAAATGACTTACAAATGAGTGCCCAGAAGTCATAAAGCAGCATATCATTGCTCGGCAGACTCACGACAGCAGGTGTGAGCAGACAATGAGCAATTACTTTCATGTGCCTGGTTCTCCACTACTGGGGATGTTGGCTGAGAGCTAAGCAATGTCAGTATGGGTGACTCAAGCAATCATTCTAATTGGAACAATCTGGAAAAAAAAAAAAAAAAGAAAGAAAAAGAAAAGTCCTTGGAATTCCAGGGCAGATCTAATTCCAGGTCAGATCTTCTGCAGGAAGGCAGAAATGTTCACATAACAGTTCTGTAGCATTTTCTAGAGAACAATTCTCAGCTGAGTAGAAGGGGTCACCTGCTTGAAACAAGAATGGGTGGGTTGAAAATGGCAGCTCAGGTTTGAAAGGAATGTAGGCAGAAACCAGCTTTCTTCATGTAGAGACAATGTTTCTGAATTGCTGGGGAACAGGGGCTAAGCTGCCAGGATCTTTTCCTTTTTCCCTTGGGCCTCAACAATTCCTCCTGACAGGCCATCATCCTCTCAGTGCTGACTTACAGCCATGATTGCAGGCATCCTGACCTCTGTGAAGTTCTCAAGGGCATATGTTATCAAACAAAAGCGACAGTGCCCATCCACTCATCACTGAGGACATTTTAGTTTTGTAGATTGATTGGCCAGCTGATGGAGGACAAGAATAAAAGAAAACTGAAAAGGAGGTGCACCACAGACCAGAAACCTAGCTCACAAGGAGGTAGGGGTAGAAGAGATTAGCATAGCCACTGACACAGCTATGGAAACCAAGATCCTTAGGCGCAGATGACACAGTTGCGGAAACTAGTATCCTTAGGCGCAGTTCTGATCCTTAGGCGCCTAGATTTAAAGCATAAAATCCAAGCAGGTATCAGACTGCTATTTAGAGCACAGGCCCAAGGGTTAAGATATGGAGATTGAGCCCAACAGACCCCAAAGGTAAAGATATGGAAATTGAGCCCATTGTAGAATCTGTGGTCCCTTTCAAATTCTACATAGTTCTCCAAAATTAGCAACCAACTAATGCCTCACAAGGAGTGAGCCCTCCCAAACAGAAGAAGACTATATTAGTGCAGTCTCTGCACAGGCTCGGGGCAGCACTCCCACTGCCCACCTGTGACTCTGCAGGTGCCTCTTTTCACCAGTTCTCCCTCTGCAGGGCAGCAGCCTCCTGCCTGCCCGAGACCTGTCAAGGCCACTCCCCCCCCGCCCCGCCCCTGCAACCATGCAGGCCTCTCTTAGCAAACCTGTCCCTTCTGGGGCAGCTCTTCCTGTCAGCTTGTGTCTATGCAAATGTCTTTAACTGTTTTATCCCTTCCCTAATAAACCTGCCCATTAAATATAACTAATGTCTCTGTCTCTCAGAGAAACTCGCCTGGGAAACTCACCGCGTGTCGCTGAAGTGGGAGCTCTGGTGAAACCTTTCCCAGGGTGAACACAAGGACCCTACACTCCAAACCCAAAAACTCCAGGGCCTTCCCTGGTGGCGCAGCGGTTGAGCGCTGGGTTGCAAGGCTGCCCGCAGCCTCTGCAGTGCCAGTTGGATCCCCGGCCACCGGCAAGGGTCCCACAAGAAAAAATAAATAAATAAAAAATAAAAACAAACCCACAGACTCCTAAATGACAACACAGCCACGACATAAAATTTATAACATGATATCAAATATTGTATATACACTTTGGATGATTTAAAAAACATAACCACTTCATTTATATGTTTCTATTTTACCCCAGGTTTTCTTCAGCGGAAGTAAGGAAACAGTTTACTCTCCCACCAAACCTTGGCCAGTACCATCGACAAAGCCTAAGTACTTCTGGCTTCCCCTCTCTTCAACTAGTAAGTATGAGTTACAGATTTGCATAGAGAATGGTCAAGGGTAGAAGTACCCAGCATCTGTTTTTACTTCCTGACTCCTTAGATCTTCTACTTCCACCTTACACCTTTGACCACCAGTTTCTAACATGTCTCGTTTTTTTTTTAATATTTTATTTTATATAATTCTACATCATTTTTCATTTTTGCACAATGTATGCATTTTCATTTTGGTTATATTCCTCATCCAATTGCACCCCCCCTTATTTTGACCTTTATCCTTCCTCTCCCCGCCCCGCGCCCCAGTGTGTCTCTGGTTTATAGTTGCTTGTTGATTTTGATTTTCACTTTATTATAATTAGTCTTTTTCTCATTTTTAACATCAGACAAATCCCCTTTCCCTCCCTCCACAGGGTTTGAAAGTGCAGAGTGTACTTACAGGGCTTGTGGTTCAGAAGTCTCTGGACATAGTGGGCTTCCTGGCTACTTAATTTCACTCAAAGTATGATACATATTTGGAAGGGGTGGGATTAAACTAGAATTTTGCTATCATCTATATCACCCTTTTACTGGAAAAATATATTCTAAAATCTGAAAAGACAAGTTACAAACCTTAATTATTTTTAATTGTTTTCTCAGAAGTACAGTTTACATACAATAAAATTGGCTCATTTTATAACAGGGTGGTCCCCAGGAAAGGGGGAGTTTCCCTGCCCCACCCAAGGGAGGGTGGAGCTGAGCAGGGAGAGAAGAAGCTGCAGAGGAGACTGAGGAAGGAAGGAAGCAGGGTGGAGCTAGGAGACCTGGAGGAGGCGCATGGAGCCTAGAGACATGTGAAGAAACTGCGCTTGTCTTTTGGTCGTGGACTGGGTGACACAGATGTGGGTGAGACCCATGGGGAGGTGACAGTGGCAGCTTTTATCTTGATGTTGATTTTGCTCTTTTCCTTCCGGGCTTGCCTGGTTGTTTCTGACCCTTTTCTGTGGGTCCCACTGGAAGATGCTTTAGACTTGTAGCAGGCTTTGGGGCCTTGCTCTGGGCCATTCCCATATGGATGGACTTTTACCCACAAGGGGATGGGTAACTTTGGGTGCTTCATTTAGAAACTAGACTCTTTGCCTTACCTGTATTGTTTCCTAGTTTTATTAAAGTTCCTTCCCATTAAAGTCTCGTATGTTTTTTATTGATGCAACGGATGGCAGAACCCATTTAGAATAGGCAGGTTTGCGGGGTTTGGGCCACCCCTCTCCCTGTCCTATAACAATTTTGCTAGTGTGATACTAAGGAATACCCTGGGGCCCCTAATCGTACATACACTAAAGAGGATATGCTGTTTGCTGCATAAAGACAAAGCATACTCTTAGTGTGAAAGAACTTAACAGGATTAGTGTGTGTAGAGAAGAAAAGATGATAGTTTTCTTTTTTTATATATTAATTTAAAAAATTTTTTTTACATCATTGTTCATTTTTTTTCAGCAAACAATATTTGCTTCCCCGCACCCCATCAGGTATAGTCCCCATAGGGTTTCCTTCACCAATGCACCCTTGCACCAAGATGGCAAGTTTTCTAATAAAATACTCAAAGTTATCCATCCCCTCGTGGGTAAATACCCAGCCAAAACGGTTGGCCCAAAGTGGGGCCTCTGAGGCCTGAAAACTTAACACAAATCTAAGGCACTTTCTGCAGGGGACCCTAGGAGAGGGGCAGAAAGGGCCAGGTAAGTCTGGAAGGAAAAGAGCAAAATCAAAACCCAAGTCAAGATAAAGTCTACCGTTGTCAGCCTCCCCACAAGCCTCTCACAATGTGTCTTTCATGTTCTGCAAGTCCAAAGCCAAGAGGCAAGTGGAAATTCACTTTTCTCTCCTCCACATGTCCCCTTCTGTGTTTTCCACCTCTCCTCTAGCTTACCCTCCCTGCTCAGCCCCACCCTTTATTGGGGGCCATGGAACATGGAACCTCCCTTTTTAATAGAGATTACTGTGACAGTTCCTCTCTGTAACAATCTTAGGTGTGCAATTTGATGTATTTGGTCAATTCGTAGTTATTTAACCTCTATTCAAGAAAGATACAGAATAGCCCTTCACCTAAAAAGCCCCTTTGCAGTCTGTCTCAACTCCCAAACCACAGCTCCCAGTCATAGGCAATCATTGATTCATTTCTGCCATCATAATTTTACCTTAAATGGAACATCATATGATTGGAATCAGTATAAACCTTCATTTTTAAAATAAAATATTGTCCTGTTAAGCTGAAAATTTCTTACATTTTTGTATGAACACTATTTGCCAACTACGTTATATTATAAATTGTAAGTGTTTTATATTATTTGAGAATCCAATGCCAGACATGTACCAAGGGTGTCTTAAATGGTTTATAAAACCAGAAGTGAGCATTCACTTCCTTTCTGAGAGAGCTGCAGCCCTCACCCTGCTCACTTCCTCACACAACAAGGCCGCAATTTTTCGCTTGTGCTAGTGGTTATATTGAGGAGGTTAGATTACTTTTTTTTCTCACTTGTTACTTCAAAACCACTTCTGCTCTTTAAAATTTTGTAACCTTCCACTCAGTTTCCGGTAGCCGCCATTTTGTCTCCTGTAACAATTTTCACGCCGTGTAACTGTATCTTTTAAAGGTATGTTTGCTGGAGTGATTTGTGGTTATTTCATTAGGATAATGTGTGTGTTGTGTCATTGATGAATATTAGCACTAAAAAGTGTATAGCACCTTTTACTGGAAGAGGTGAATTGCGATGACATTTTTTCAAAAATTTTTGTTTTTATGACTTTGGTGGCTTGCTAAGCTGCCCCTTTTATTTGTACTTTTCCTGTCTGTTTCAAAACTGCAGATTATAATAAAGGCACATCAAATGCATAGTGGTCATGTTTTCAGTGCTATTAGATAAGCTTTAAGCCAAGATTAATTATATATGCTTTTTGATGTAAGATGGTGCTAATATATGTTTCATTGAAAACCAATTTAAAAAATTTCTGCCTCAAATTGTGTTCCAAAATATGCAAAATTCAGTTATGAGGTGACTGGATACAGTTTTATATTTTAAACAATGTGGGAAAAGGGTGAATTGGGTCCTTTTTTTTTTCTTTTGTAAGTTAAACTTTAGTCTTCTGCAGTAGCTGTCTTGAGAAACAACGTGCACATCACTATTAAGAGACCTTAAGGAAGTTCAGCTAACAGGCTTTAACCCTTTCCACACCAGCTTTAGCTTTAATGCTGCAATTTTAAATTCTTTCCAGAAAAAAAATTTTTTGATTTAAAATAACTGAAAATATGATTAATATTTTCAGTTATTCTTTTGGGACAGTTATTCTGCCTCATCAGTAGATTTTGATGAAAATGAATTTCAATGAAGGTAACCAAATCAACTTGTGATGTAATTACTCATTGTCTAACAAAATATCAAAGAGGCAGCAAAAGCAGGCAAAATGTTTAACTATACAAAAATCATGTGTTCCTAACTGTCATAATTTATTCTTGGCTATTTGCAAATGAGTATCCTTCAAACTCTGTTAGTTATTTCCATTTGATTTGCTGAATATCTTCCCCAAGCCTCTATGCCAGCTTTAGCAGTCTGTTGCTTCTTTTCCTTTTGTTTACTTCCCTAGGGACTGGTGGCATGAGGGAGCCAAAAGGCCGGTATGCTCTTTTTCTCTCTCTCTCTGCATCCCATCACCCTAAAGTTGACTTCTTGCTGTGATTGTAATGTTTGTGTAAGTGGTTGTTGTCTCCTTTGAGTCATTTTCCTAAATGAAGGCTCCTCTAACAGAAATCATTAATCCAATTAATCCACATGATGATTTACCATTCCCTTCAAAAATTTTTTTTTTAAAGATTTATTTATCTATTTATACAAGAACCAGGGTACAGGCCAGATGCACGGGAGGGTGAGAGGATTCACCAGAGACAGAGCGGAGAACAGAACAGGCAGACTGACGAAATATACTGCTGAGGGGAGCAGCGGGCGCAACAGGAGAGGTCTGCCATTCCATGTGGCATTCTTGCCAGCCAGCTGGGATGGAACCAGTGCTGCAGAGGCTGCTGACAGCTTCACAGCGCTGCGCTCAAACGCCTGTACCACAGGGGAGGCCCCCCTTACAAATTTTATTCTTATTTCCTGAAAGATTATGGGACAGTAAGATAATTAATCAGTAAGACTAATTTCTGGCAAGAGAGAGGAATAGTTTATACCTAGCATCTCAACATGACAATTTTTAAAATCCTTCCCTAAATGAGAAGCAATAGACTGTTCAATATATTATTTTGAACAATTAAAAATAAGAGCAAGTGGGCCTCCCTGGTGGCGCAGATGGTTGAGCGCAGCGCCGTGAAGCTGTCCACAGCCTCTACAGTGCCAGTTCAATTCCCGCCGGCTGTGGAGATACCCACATGGTGTGACAGACCTCCCCTGTCTGTCCCACTGCTTCACTCAGCAGTGTATTTCAGTCAGTCTGCCTGTTCTGTTCCCTGCTCTGTCTCTGGTGAATCCTTTCACCCTCCCGCACATCTGGCCTGTACCCCGGTTCTTGTATAAATGAATAAATCTTAAAAAAAAAATAAATAAAATTTCTTTAAAAAAAAAGAAAATAAGGTCAAGTGCATTTTGACCTTTGGCTCATTTGCCTATAACCATCATTTCAGCAGCCCCAAATGGTGATACAAAAGATTGTTTAATTTTTGAAAATATGTAAGTGGCACCAAGTTATTTAAAGCCCACTCTATTATAAGTTTGTTTCGTAAGAGGCAAGAATTTGGAATCCACTGGATCTAGGGTGAAGTATAACTGCCACTTATTAACTATGTGATTTGGGTAGGTTACTTAACTTCTGTGAAAGCTTCAGTTTCCTCACTTGCAATATTGGCATAATAATGATACTATCCTAATTAGAGTCAGCATAGATTTCCATAGCTCTATAAATGATGGTTAATACTGCTGCCTGTGTGCTTGGCACTATAGAGATAACATAGGAGATTAAAATTAGATGAACAGGAGAAGGATTTGCCTATAAAG